AAATATATTTTTAAAGTCAACCGAAAATTCGTAGACTTTACCAAAGTCTACCGTAATTTCGTAGGCTTTACCAAAATTCGTAGACTTTACCGAAGTCTACCAAAACTTTGTAAACTTTACCAACTAATCTAGAAGTCTAAGAAATATATTTTTTTAGGTCTACTAATAATTGGCAGACTTTTACATAAATCTGCCTCTTATGTACAGATTTTAGTAAATTTGATGATAAATACAAATCTACCAAAATAAATGGAGACTTCAAAACATGGCAAACTAACTATACTTTTCATATTCCACATCAAGATGCTTTGAGAAGAGTTACCTGTATCTCTATGAACATTGAATACTGTAGATTGAGAGCGCAATTTTGTTTGTTATTCACCATTAGTTGTATGCAAACATCCTACGAATCAAAACCATATTAGTAAAAAAAATCTGTACAATATGCAATACAATATAATAGATGATTTGGTATGAATCACAATCAAACTAATTTTTTAATACAAACTAAATATAACTTACCGTTTCCACTCCAATGATTATCAGATTTAGAGAACCACAAATATAAGATAAACCAATGCTTTGACCCGATAATACAAGTATCTCTTAATATTTCAGAAGATGAACAGTGGATACAGCAACTATGCCGTTGAAGAAGATGAGTGACTTAATTGCATGACTTTTATAATTCCAAACGATTGGTATTTTTGAAAAATATTTCCTTTTTTATTTGATTCCCTTATTAATTGTTTCCTTTTCTTGTTTTTAATTTTCGATTTTATAATTTAAATTTTTAAATTTTGTTTAAACAATATTCTGAACATTTATTAATATTTTAGGTGTGATTTTTACAATAATTAAAATGGAAAATATATATGTGGAAGGATAATATGGTAAAAGTGTGCTATACAAATCTTTTAAAATCTTGATAGGTTAGTGTGGTTGTTTTCAATAAATTATAGGCTATTATAGCAACTCTCCCTTTAATATATAAGGGATTATTGAATGCATTATCCAAATTATATATGTAAATCTTAATTCAGTTAAAGTTGAAGTTTTTCTAAATCTAGTATATGTTTATAGAATGACATATATGATTCTTACTCGATTTCTTTATATCAACTAATTAACCCTGATAACAAAATTCTTTAGTTTTTGCGACTGAACTTGAATATTTTTGGATGAAACAACTTAACATATAATAAAATTATTTTGTTTGTGTTGTATCATACAAAAAGAAGTTAACATGGTTGATATGGTTAATATAGGGACGTTACAGATAATTTAAGCGTCCAAGTACAAACTGAGAAAAGACTTGATGAATTGTTTCGTTTGAGAAATAAAATTAGAAAATAATTTAGAATTTTGTAATTTTTGCATTGGCTTTCCATAAATATATTATATGTCAATAAAATAATAAATTTAGCATAAATGCTTTAATAAAGTCCACAAAATACCAAATACTGCAACTCCACATAATTAGGGGTTTCCATAAGTTATCATAAACAACGAGCCAAAATAAAACCCAAAACGCAAATTGAAATCGAGCTCAAGCATGCAAGTTAAACACATCTTTTTTCTTAACCATAATACACAGATCGAAATTAAAAGGACTCAAAACATGCAAACTGATTTTTCATATGCAAATAATAATAAATTAAACTGAATCATGTCATTCAAACCTATATTTTTTAGTCTCAAATAATGAAATCGAACCCATAATTTTTAGAATTTACCTCTAAAAATAAATACTACATACATGAAACCAATAGTCAACAATAAGAAAAAAATCACACCGAAGAAATAAAATTAAGAAAGACTAGTGAAATCCACTTGTTTGATTTTTCTAATTCATTTAGAATTTCACAACGAATGTAAATTTATATAAACTAAAATTCGTAAAGCAGCAAAATACGTTATTTGGAAATTTGTATTTGATGGTTCCCTTTGTTTCATCAATTTCAGGGAATTGGTTGAGTTTATTTTAGGACATTTTAGGATTGATGTACATGACCTCATAATTTTTTATTAGACATTTGAGGTAAATTTTTTTTTTTTTGAAACAACATTTTAGGTAATTGCCTTCTGGAAAAGGTCCTCTTGGGGTAGTATTCCCTCTTCGACATCACATGGCTGGAGAGTAATGTGTTTGGGCATCGATCTTTTGGTGTAGTGCCGGTGATAGGTATGTGCAAGTTGTGCATTTACAAAGATACCATGTTTAGTTAACATTAAAAGTAGTGTATTTTAATATCTAAAATTTTAAAAAAAAAATTCTTGAGAATTTTTGAAAAATACCCCTTTTGGTATACCCATTTTTACATGTAATTAAGGTCCATTTTTTACATGTAATTAAGGTCCATTTGTTTACATGTAATTAAGGTCCATTTTTTTTCTTTTTCTTTTACATGTAATTAAGGTCCATTTTACAAAAATTGAACAGAGACTTTATTTTTTTTGGTTACTTTTAAGCCGGTCCTATATATGCCTCTTTATATATACACGATATATATATTTACTTCTATATACCGAACAAACAATCTTAAAAAAAAAACTTAAGAAGAATAAATATTATATATATATATATATATCTTATATTAATAAATGGATACAATAAATCTTTTAAATGATAAAGGATCTCACACTTAAATATGAAGCTATTTTCAAGATTTATTTTTGAATGAATTTTCCAAATTACATATTTAAATCTTTATTCAGTGAAAGTTGAAGTTAGAACTTTTAAAAGTGGTCGTCTATTTTGACAAAAAAAAATTCATAATTAAACATATACCGAATGGAGATTTGGTCATTAATTTAGTTATAAATATATACAAATTTCTTATAGATCATATACATATTCTCTTCTAAATACAAAACAAAATAAACTTAATATCTCTTACATTAATGAATGGGATATAATTAAATAAAATAAATGATATAGGATCTCAAACTTTAACTCAAAGCTATTTATGAATGCATTATCCACATTATATATATGTAAAACTCAATTTAGTGAAAGCTGAAGTGAAAACAATTTACAAGTTGTCAAATTTGACAAATAAATTAAATAGTTTTCACAACTAATTAGCTAGATATATACAAATTTCTTATAAAACATATACAAAAAAAAAAAAGAGACCTAAGGAACATGAATATGAAAAAATGCGTTATATTGATATTGGTGGTAGCACTAGTAATGACAACCATGGGAGAAAAAGAAGAAGCACTTTCATGTTGGAACAAGTGCATGTTCGTGTGTGGGCTTACCTTACAAGGTCAAAAAATTTGCAGCCAAAAATGTCTAAAGAAATGCCCACCAAAAACTCACCAAAAATTTGTGCCTATCAACTAGTTTATCATAATAACAAATATATTTAGTGTACCTTTTAACACCAAAAATTCTACCTTTTAACACCAAAAATTCTATCATACATTTTGGACCAATAAAACTTATGCAAGAGATTAATGATAATTAACTAATAACCTTTTACTTTTAAAATTAAAATAAAAGTATAACTAGTAAATACATATTGTTTAAATCTAGTATATGTTTATAGAATGATATATATGTTTCTTACTTGATTTGTTTTTATATCAACTAGTTTATCATAATAACAAATATATTTAGTTTTTGCCATTAAACTCGGATATTTTTGGATGCAACAACTACACACATATAACATTATTTTGTTTGTGATGTATCATACAAAAATTTAACATCTTTTAAATGTTTAATATAGGGACGTAGCAAATTATTTAAGGGTTTCAGGTGAGAACTGAGAAATGTTTTGATGAGTTGTTCCATTTGAAAAAGGAGATTAATAATCAAATAATGATAATTTTTTTAATTTTTGCATTGGCTTTGCCAACAATTTTCCATAAATATACCATATGCAATAAAATCATAAACCCTAAGGCATAAATGCTTCAACAAAGTCCACAAACAATACTCTAACATCAAATAATTAGGGGTACTCAAAAAAATTTCATGCAAAGAGTGCCAAGCTAAAACTAAAATTTGCTACTTGAAGCTGGAACATGCAATGTGTACCTTTATAACACTCCGACCGTCATCTCACCCAGTGGGTCCTATGTTCACTCTCAGCCCATGGGCCTACCTCTATTAACGGGCCTCACGTCTTCTCACTAGGCCCATGAGCCCATCCATATTCGTCGGCCAGTTTGCTACGTTCAAGAGGCTTAAAGACTTGTTTACCGACCTTACAAATCACCACATGATATTTTCTTGTGTTTTGGTTCACTTCCCGGAAGGTCACTCATCCGAGAACTACTCAAGCATAAGCAAGCTTAATTGTGGAATTCTATCAGGATCTTTGACCGAAAAGATAAGTGCCAATTTGGTAACATATGTGCCCAAATCAATTCATTTAAACCTCTCTGCAAACTGAGGTCTCACAACTTTATGAACTCAAGCATGTCTATTGTTTTGATTGATGATTTGCTATTTGGTCAAATGTTTATTTTTTTTATATGAATTGCGGATGCATTTAACTCTTCAACAAATTATACTTTTAGTTCCGATTGGACTTAATTTTACTGAAAACATATGTATTATAATTATCTTTTAAAGGTAGCAATAAGGAGCTTAACAAAATCCTTTACGATATCTTTTGTCTCAAGGAATCGTTCTCCTCTATCTCTTTTGCGTTTATTCTTCGTTTAGATAACAGAGATGCAGACTCACTTGCTAAGAAAGCTCTCTATTCTTTATCGTTTGTAACTTTCTCCTCATCTTTGGGTGAGTAAACTCTTGTTATTCTTTGTTTTCTTAATATAAGTGTTTGATCAAAAAAGTAATTATCTTTTAAAATGTTTTCCCAAAACAAAAGGAATTATCGTTTAAAATTTTAAACTATTCAAAAAAAAATTCTTTAGGTTTATATACTTATCAGAATTATCTTTTAATATATATTTTTTTCTTTGTTTATTCTATAACCATTACCTAAATTAATTACGAGACTAATGCAATTAGTTATGTCCGTCGAAGATAGATCATCGTCGTCTTCATTTCAGCTAGGCTCTTCTGCATAGATATTATAGTTAGCCAAAAGTCCAAATGTAGCTATTTCTCGATGTTAGTCACTAGTCGACATTGATATAGTGTAGACGCTGAACAGAACATATAATAATTACAAAAACAACATATTATTTCACGTTTTTATGTGTCACATAAAATAAAATTTGAATAGAAAAAAATAATAGCTAGCTCCTGATTTCAATGTATGATTTACCTTTTTATGGTTTTATGTCTCCTAGAGTTGTCTTTTTGAAAAAACAAAAAAAAAGTCCAAAGGTGACCGTTTGAAAAATTCGAAATTTTAATTTTCCTTCAGCCGTTTGAAATTCGAATTCAAAATCAAACAATGTTAAACCAAACCAAAACCAAAGTCTCGCTTTTGACTGTCACACAATGTCTTCATTACGTGGCGTAATATTACAGGTCGGTGATGTATACGAAAATAACAGAAGGAGAATTTTAAAACTTGTGCACGCTCCGATACAAATCTAAGCTTTAAAATCAACGGTCAGGATCGTTTTGTCAAAATTTCAAAATTTGATTATTTAAAGTCTCTTCTCTTCTCTTCTTCTTCTTCTTCTCTCTGTCGCCATTAAAGCTCGAAGTCTCTTTTTTTCGAAGATTCTCAGGGAAAAAATAAAGTGAGAGAGATGTCGAACGTTTATCAGAATCGACGACCTTCGTTCTCATCTTCAACGAAATCTTCAATGGCGAAGCGTCAAGCGTCGTCGTCTTCATCGGAGAATTCAGTGAAACCTATGGCTGTGATGACGAAGAAACGAGCACCGTTGAGTAACATCACTAATCAAAAGAACTGTTCTCGAATCCCTAATTCATCTTCTGATTCGGTGAGTTCGAGTAATTTTACAATTCTGTGGTTTGAAAATTGAAATTGAAGAATCGTTTACTCTAATTGTGTTTTGGGTTCTTCGAATTGTTGTGTGGATTTGGTTTCTGAATTCGATTTTGTGGTTTTGGGTATAGGTACATTGTTCGAACAAGTCTGCGAAATTGAAGTTGGCACCACCAACACAAGGTGTTTGTGAAAATGCGAGTTTCTCTAGCAATCTGTTACAAAGTGTTAAGCCAAGCCTAGTTCAAAGCAAAGTTGTTTCTTTACCTTATAAAGTGTCTTCTCCTAGTAAATCTGATGATGGGTCTGTTTCAATGGATGAGACAATGTCTTCAAGTGATTCATACAAGAGTCCGCAAGTTGAGTATATTGATAATGATGAAGTCTCGGCTGTTGTTTCTATTGAGAGGAAAGCATTGAGTAATCTTTACATTACTCCGAGTTCAGAGACATTGGGTATGTATGATTTGATAATGATTCTCTAAAGTTTTGTTCTTTATGTTGTTTGGTATTGATTGGTTTAGTTGGTTGGATTGCAGGTAATTATTGCAGTAGGGATGTTTTGTCTGACATGAAAATGGATAAGAAGAGTCAGATTGTTAACATTGATAATAACACTGCGGATCCACAGTTGTGTGCAACGTTTGCTTGTGACATTTATAAGCATCTGCGTGCATCCGAGGTGATAACTCTTTTTTTGAATTTGAACCATAATGTGGGATTTATTGTGTTTGCAAGTTTCTGAATCTGTAATTCTATGTGGTAGGCAAAAAAGAGGCCTGCGGTTGATTTCATGGAGAAAGTTCAGAAAGATGTGAATTCGAGTATGCGTGGAATCCTAGTTGATTGGCTTGTTGAGGTGAATTATATAGTTAACAACATTTGGAAAATGTGATTGCTTTGGTCACTCTTTTCAGATGTTTAAGGATGTTTTTTTTTGTTTCCGGCAGGTATCAGAAGAGTATAGGCTTGTACCTGAGACGTTATATTTGACAGTGAACTACATAGATAGGTATCTATCTGGGAATGTGATTAGTAGGCAGAAGCTTCAGTTGCTTGGTGTGGCATGTATGATGATTGCAGCAAAATATGAAGAGATATGTGCACCACAAGTTGAGGAATTCTGCTACATCACTGACAATACATATCTCAAGGATGAGGTTTGTATTTTCAAACGAATTCGATAAATGAGATGAAGATTTCACATTTTCACCAATAAGATACTGATTTGAATTTGATTCTTTTTTGGTTCTGCAGGTTCTTGATATGGAATCTGAAGTTCTGAATTACTTGAAGTTTGAAATGACAGCCCCAACAACCAAATGCTTTCTAAGGTTAGCAATATGATTGAATTACAAAACATGATCCTTGATTTTCTATATGATACAATTCACAATTGTGACTAACCCCCTTGAATCCTAAAACTTTGATATTCAGACGCTTTGTACGAGCTGCCCATGGTATTCACGAAGCTCCATTGATGCAACTAGAATGTATGGCCAACTACATTGCAGAATTATCGCTTCTGGAGTACACAATGCTCTCTCATTCCCCTTCACTCGTAGCTGCTTCTGCCATTTTCTTGGCTAAGTACATTCTAGACCCAACAAGACGACCATGGGTACGTTTAAACAGACTTAAGACTCCTATTTTTACTCTTAACAAAAGATCATGTAGTAAAATGAGTTTGCTGTTGTCTCTTGGTTGGATCAGAATCCGACATTGCAACACTATACGCAATACAAAGCTTCGGAATTGAGAGGATGTGTAAAGGATCTTCAAAGATTGTGTAGTACTTCCCACGGCTCTACTCTACCTGCTGTGAGAGAGAAGTACAGCCAACACAAAGTAAGTTTGAGTTTTCATTACATGTAAGAATGGTTTGGTGATTAATTTGTTCTATGTCTAATTTGAGTTTGTGGTTTTGTTTTGTTTGCAGTACAAGTTTGTGGCAAAGAAGTTTTGTCCATCCATAATCCCACAAGAGTTCTTCAACAACAGCTAAATCTTCAAGTTCAAACTTTATATTTTCCAATGCTGCGTTGGATTGTTTTGTATATGGTTTTGCTGTTGTTGGGTTAATTTTATAAAAATTAGCTTATCTACGATCTCACTTCACTCTGATAATCATTTATTGATATTTATGAAATAAACAGCAATGTGAAAATGAGAAATTAATCAATTAGTTGATAAAGTTGTGAGTTGTTGTGTAAAAGTGGGAACGTTAATATCAAATCAGCTTAATTTGTGATTTATTAAATGCAAATTTATAAACGTGAAATGTGTTTTCCATTAATATATTTTATGATTAATCGATAAATTAGAGAACAGTTGTGGTTCATAATTAGGTACATAATACAGCATAATTATATTACGCTGTATATAATATAGTTTCGTTGACTAGGCACAATTCAACTTGTTTAAAGTGTTTGTAATTTTTTTATTATTATAAAAAAAAAACTCCATGTACTGGATTCTTAAAATGTCAGGTTTACGCTTAGAAAATCGAAAAAAACTGTTAAAAAAAATCGGAAAACTCATTGGAAATAAGATCGGAGACTCGGATCTTGCTGTATAACCGGAGGCAGAGAATCAGGACATAAACTCCAGCAGATTCAAGGACCAAGACGTTGCGGCAGAGTCGAGGCTTGGAAAACTCCGACGAGAGAATCCGATTAAATGTTTGTAATTTTATTTTACATTTGGTTAAATGTTTGTACTTGTTTTTGTACAAACATCAATCTATATATTGTTGAATTCATGCATATGTTATAGTCCAAAGAGCTAACTATTACATATGTAACAAGACTATTAAGATTGACCGAGACCGAATTATATTGTGGACCAATTGTTGTTGTGGGACGAAATGGAATTAGAACTTATTCTAACATATTTGAAACTTATCCTAGTTCGATTTGAACTTATATGATCTTTAACTATGAATCCTCATTGTCACAGTAGAACTTTTTTCGAAAACGTATTTTGGTTTTCACAATGTTTCAATTCATAAATGGGTTTTAATGACCTACAATAATAGTTGGTCCACAATAGTATTCGGTCTCTATACTATCTCATCGATTTTCTAACAAAAATGATATATATTATGTAACATTATCACAAAATTTATGAGATGTCTATTTATTATTTCAATATCTAAACATCAACACATATTATTGAAGATTTTTTTTTTTTGCACATATCATTTATAAAACTAAAATTAATATTGTATTTTAACATTATAATTATATATGGGATATATTTTCACTCAAGTGTTGAAAGATTATATTTTCAGCCTTTTCGTCGAAAGGATTTCTGAGTTTCATTTTTTCACATATCATTTATAACACTAAAATTACTAAAATATGTAAACATAATATAATAAACATACGCGCAAATGTTTCCACTTAAATGGTTAAAGTAAACTCGAAAAAATCGTATTTCCCTATATAGTAAGGATTAACTTATGAATCAGAATTTGTCTATAAAATAAATTGTAATATATATACATGAAAAGAAAATTTAATAAGCCTAAAAGATCGAATTATACCAATATCTAGAATTAGTATATTTAACTAGTAATACCGACATGCAACGCTTGACATTATTTAAAGCATAGTTCATAGTAATAATTAAAACATATAGTTTTAGTATATAAAGACAAGATCATGAGCATATCTTTTACAAAACTAGTGGATACAGTAATAGCCGCATACGAATATAAAACGATGCATGTTTTTATATGGACGAATGTTTTGGATGGTCCTCGATCGATCGAGTAGAACCTTTCTTATACTGATATGGATGGCCATCAATTTGGTATATCTATGTTGGCGTTGAACACCATTACATTATTTACGGGATTAAACAATTTAGGTGTAACATTATATAAAACAATAGCTATAATATAGTTTTTAAAATAGTTGACTTTGTATAAATTAAGATGGTGATGGTAATGGTAATATTTTAAGTTCAAATGGGTCTGTTTGTTTCGTAGTCGTAGGTACCTGCGGCTTTAACTGCAGCAAAAATTGTTGTTCGTTTGATTGCCACAGCGACGAACATAACGTTTTACAATTAAAAATTTTAAACGTCGATTTTATTTACCATCCAAAAACGTTGTGTTTACCGCAGCCGCTGCCGCAACCGTCTACGGCGACCAAAGGGAATATATGTTCAACTAATCTTAGTATAAATTATGATTACAAAGATTATACGAGTTCCAAGTTCTTGCAATTTGTTTTTAACTAATTTATTCCTTACGGGAAGTATTTGGAATTTGATGCCTCTTGTATGCCAAACGATAAGAACATAACTAACTCTTCTTCTATAATATTGTTCACAAACATCCAACTCGGCAAAAGAAAAAAAGAACTGTCCAACTTGCTAAACCATATATGGAAATTGGGCAGTCTACCATTTTTTGTTATAAGAAAATATCCATATATTTTTTAGTTTACAAAAAATTCATATACTTATAAAGTTTCCATCCTTTGTATATATAAAATCTAAAGTTATTAAGTGTCCTGCTTGTCAATATATAGAAAAATGTTCTCAAACTATTATTCGATAATTTGATGTATGGCTAATTTCATTATCGGTTGGAAGATAATTTATATTCAATTCAGATGTATCCCAATCTTAAATAATTTTTCACTTTAATACATAATTTCTTATTTCATTTAGAACAACTAAAGAATAATTATACAAAATCTATATTGAAATAGATAATAAGGTAATAGGGAAAAATGTTATTTAAATCCCGAATTTACATATTTTGGCCATTTAATCCTCGACTTGCACTATAGTCATTTATATCATAGACTTATCGTTGACGTTATTTTTAAATCACTATCTTCTGTTGAATGAGCCAGATTGAGCATGTCGTCAAATCAAATTCCCTAACAGAGGAGTTAACAACCGTTTAGGATCGTTAATCGGTCTTTGTTAAGTCAAAAATTAAGAATCACAAGGACAAACGACGTCGATTTGGGAATTTAGGCATTTCGTTTAAGGCAGTACGACGTCATTTGTCGTCTACCATGTTAATCTCTCTTTCTCGTTCCTATAAAAGGAAAATTCTTATGCCTCACTCGTATATTTGTTTATAACTTTTTCTAAAACCTGATTCGTTTTTTGTTAAAAGTTTTTCCGTTTATATTATAACTAGGATTTACCCCGTGGTGCATCACGGGTCAATTTTTTATTTTTATTTTCATTAAATTTTAAATTTTCTTAGTATAGTTTATATTTGATTTACTGTTTTTGCATGTTTATGAATGTTTAGAAGTGTTTGTTCTTGGCTTTAATAGTTTCGTATTATTGGAAAGTGTATATTGTTAAGAATACGAAGTTTATGTCAATAAAAATTTCGAAATAGACTAATTAGAAATAACTGCCGAGATTTATGGCAAGTATAAGCGATTACGATCTCTTTTGGCAATAATAAAATAATAAATAATTAGATTAATAGATTATGGAAATTAAATTTAAACGCATTTATGTTTTCTAGTTGTAGGATCCGATTACTTAATTCCGGGTTATATAAACTAATTTTGACCCGATTTAAATTTTCCCTAAAATGATTTTTGGTCAAATTGTACTCCAAAAATGTTAAGATAGATTTTTCTTTTAAGTTATAATTTTTCTGTTGTGTATAAAACATATCACTTTCTCTTAATACTTTTTCTTCAATATATAATTTCGAAGAACAATGTTAGATCTGCATCTAGCGGTCTATGTCTACAAGAATAAATCCCATAAACCTACATGGAGTGGCAACTTGACCACTGGGATGTTGCAAAGGTGCTTTGTCCCAATTTATTTTACACAAAATCTATTAATGGGCTTTGCTTACTACCTTAAGAGCGTAATACTAAAACTGAAAAACGAATAAACATGCATGACTTAGATTCTCTAAACGTATTCCTAAGATTTTTTAACACATTCTTTTAGTATGAAGCTTTTTTGCCCATTGTTCTTTTTGAGACTATTATAAATATTTTTAGAAATGCGTTTGTGACTTTGTGTGTGAGCATCATCTTTTACTAACTTTGACTTGTTTTTTCAATGGTGGAAATCGAAAAGGTCAACTGTTTTGAGCGTAGCTCTGATGGTAAGTAAGAGTAGTAAGTCTATATATATTATTCAAAGGGACTTTACTGACCAACTTTGGATGGTCGTGCACCAATTCACATTCTTTCCCAAAACGACCCATCATGTTAATAAATTTTCAAGAACATGTTGTAGTGACAATATCTATATGTATTTAAAATAGGTAAAGTTGGTTGGACCATGAGATTGACACATGTGTGAACAAACATAAAAGATTTGGTGCCGTGTTTGTATTACCATCCATCTCCAAATAGTTGAAAATAAAATAAATTCCAAAGGTATTACTTAGACTAATAATTTTATGGTTGCTTTTTTACTTTTCTTATAAATGATTTGATATACCAAGAAAAAGTACACATTTTTATGGGACTTTTTTCCCCTTTTTTTGGGTCAAATTATTTCGATTTTGTAGATTTTTTTTTTTTTTTACAAAAATAGTGTAATGTACATGTAAATCTTGAAATATAATAAGTATTTTTGTCTTTTTCATCAATGTCAGTAAACATGTAAAAAGCAATGTTCTTAAATCCGACCCGGATGGTGAACCGGACTAGCTTCCGGGTCACCAGATCTTCGGATTGACTGGGTTTAACCACATGTTAATTAAATTAATTTATTTATATATTATACACTTTTATGAATATAAAAATATAAAAGAGAAATTTCTGGGTCGCAGGTTAACCGGTCAGACAGCAGGTGGGTCCAATCTGACCGTGAAAACACTGGTAAAAGAAAAGAAATTATAGAAGAGGCAATGAAAAAATGTGGAGTGACATTTTGTAAATTTCTTCATACTACATATTTTAGTGATTCAATATTTCTTCATACTGACATCTTTAATAATAATATTTTAGAAAACTAAGTAGTAATACCGTACTTATAATAGAAAATATCATCATTATTTTTGTCGTTCGATAATATATGTGAACAATAAAATATAGAAGCAATACAATGGAATGTGAAGATAAAAATTAACTTTTACTAAATGTGATATAAGCCAAATATATATATATATACAAAATTAAAGTTGAAAAGCAAAACTTGGTTCGAAGTGAAACATATAAATCAATCAAGTGCTAATAGCTCAACTGGTAAAGATCTCTGGCAATAGCGCTTGGGACGAAACCATATAACATGTTTTGGTTTCGGGCCTGATGGGATGTATGGGCTTTGGCTCAGAACCTAGCTCAAAGCAAAGTTACAATGATAGTTGATCTATAGCTAGTACAAGTAGTAATTTTCTAGTAGCTGACTGCTTCAACTCATCTAGTACATAGTTGGTTTGTGTATGCTGATTTGGTGTGGTTTAGAATTAATCTCAAATTTATGATTTTAATTTCAATCTCAATCATTTGAGTCTGAGCTTTAACTTCCCGACATGAAATTTGGTGTGACACATGAGATATAAATAGCACATTAATTATACTATATTAAATATGAAAACATCAACAAAAAAAAAATTACAATGATTAGGAGCAATAATCAACCATACATAACCTATGATAACAGTGAAGAATAATATACAAAGATCTAATATAATTCTAATAAATCTAATGGAATGACTTGACTATCAATTTCACCAATAACTTGGAAAATCTATTAATCTTAGAGGAACATGACCTTATTAATTTGGTAAATATTTTCATTCTGCTAATTTTGCAGGGATAAAGATTCTGCTAATTTTTTGGTATCTATCTATGATTGACTTTTCTTTGATTTCTTAACCATAACAATTTAAATATTTTCCAAATGAAGGATGTTTTCTCCACTCATTATTTTATAAATCACATTTCATTTTTCACTTAAGATACAGGTAACTGTAATTAGTTTGTTTTTTTTTTTGTAAGAAAAAAATTCATATATGAAGAAAACAATAAGAAAATATTATATATATATATAACAAATTAACAATATCATCTAAAAAACTTATTTGAATGACTTTTTGCATGCTTAGACCAAATATAGCGTTTTTGTAGATGATAATGGTTGAAGTTCACCTAGATAATTTTAAATAAAAGTTAAAATAGTTTTATATAAATACTGTATGTTCATTTTTATAATAAAATAAAATATATTGTTTGCAATCATTATCCCAAAATTCCTACCAAATAATTCACTTAGATTCTCAAATTTATAAAATTTATTATAGATATTACTCTATCTCTAATCATTCTAATATCTTATAAAAATCTGGATTTTTATTTTATTTTTGTAAACAATAAAAATCTGGCTATATAGTCTCCACATAATCGTCTTTTTCTCTTTAAGAACAAATGAAATCCAAAAGTAAATTATCAGTCAACTTTCTCACAAATTAAAAAGTAAAAAAATATTTATTAATAAATTAAAAACTATATATTGAAAATTAAATTATTTTACTAACAATACACTTTAACAATTAAAGAGATAACTAAAATATACTTTAACAATTAAGGAAATAAATAATTTGCTTACATTTTTATAATTAAATCTCAAATGTGCTAAAGGTAAATTTCTTTTTTTTCAAAGATTTAGCTTGATAATTTAGCTTTTATTGAGTTTTGTAAAATTTTCAATTAAACGATTTATAATATATAACCCTATTTTCTTATAAAATGGTTTATAAAAACTTAAAAGGGCACATGTGGTTTCCTTTGCTTCTTCCTTGTACAAGTTGAGATGTCTCTGTCTCTGTCTTCCACAGAGCTTATAAATGAGTGAAACAACCAAAGCTTTTGGTTTATGACTTATGATGCATTTATAATCACACGACTCTTGTCTTTCAATTCTATTGCTTCACTCTCTTCTCCCAAATTACAGAATCTTTGGTCCATACAAAAAAACAATCCGTGACCGTTGATTTTATATTTGGAAAACAATCTTGGCTAAAATATCGTTGATTCCTTTCATTTCACTTCTGGTCTAAAACATTTCAAGATCTAAACAGCAAAAACCTTTTTTGTCAAAACCGTTTCTTCTGGTAAATTAAGTTTTTTTTTGGGTTCTTGTTTTCAAGAAGAAGATGGTCGTCAAGAATGTTCAAGATTTGGATGTTCTTCCAAGAAGTAGCTCCGATTTATTCGATGATGATGGTCGTCCCAAACGAACCGGTACCATTTCTTTTTAATTTTCTTCTTTTTGTTTTTGGTCAGAACTAACTAAATGCTTTTAACCAGAATTACCGGAATTATGTTTTCTTCACAAAAAGAGTTTGTTCAAACCAGAATGACCCGAAATCCCCAAACCCAAACCAGAATAGTTTGAGTTTCGGGATTTTAGTCAGAACTATAGTCGTCATTTAAAAAATCTTGTTGTTTCGCCCAAAATCCCGAAAACCCGAATTCATTAGTTCGGGTTTCGGGATTTTAGTCAAGACTATAGTATGTTGAAGCCATTCAAAAAAAATCTACATTGACTATACCATTAAGACCAAATCATGGTGCTTTTAACTTCATTAAAAGTATTTAAAAAAATAAGACCACCTTTAAATACTTTTGTGGACATTTGTGGACATTTGTCAGCTTTTCATGTGGACTTTTGTGGACATTTGTCAAATTTCGCAGTGGGGATTGTGAAGAAACATTATTTTATTCTTTTGTTACATAAGAGACTATGACTATGTTCAAAACAAACCGACCCATTAGAATATGACTCTTTATAAAACTCGGTTTGGGGTAATTAATGGTGATATGACTGTGATTGGAATCTAGGGACGGTGTGGACAGCAAGTGCACATATAATAACAGCCGTTATAGGGTCAGGAGTGTTGTCTTTAGCATGGGCTGTTGCTCAGATCGGTTGGGTTGGTGGTCCAGTCACTATGTTGCTCTTCTCTCTCGTCACTTATTACACATCTACCCTCTTATGTTCTTGTTACCGCTCCGGCGACTCTGTTACCGGCAAAAGAAACTATACTTACATGGACGCTATTCACTCCAACCTCGGTAAGAACATTTTGTTGTCTTTCTATGTTTATTAAGGTTTTAGCAAAAGTCGGTTCGAGTAGCGCTTGCAACGAAACTATATAATCTGTTCTTATCTCAAACTTAAGTAATGTATGAGTTTTGGTGCAAAACCTCTTAGTTATTCAAAAAATAAACATTGGAATAACTAAAAGAACATTTTATTGTCTTTCTATGATTTTGCTAGGTTCATTAAAAATATTAAAATCTTGATTCATTTTTTCAGGTGGCATTAAGGTGAAAATATGTGGAGTTGTACAATATGTTAATCTCTTTGGTACTGCAATTGGATACACTATTGCATCAGCTATAAGTTTGATGTAAGTTTTTTAAAACATTGTTTTCACAACTCATTTTTTTTTTCACATCCGTCCAAAAAGTAGATGCGTGTCTTACTTTGCTGTTCAATATTGTCCATACAAGTTATTTAAGTTTGTTGGCTCAACTTTTTTCAATAATGTAATGTCAAAGTCAAATGTAGTCTTATTTAAATTCTAGTATTAAAGAATCATCAAGATTCGAAAGAACGGCTCTAAAACGCTGTCATGGTTTCAGATTCTGTCCTATTGCTTTCTTTGGTTCAATTATTGTTTGACTGGTACTAATAAATTATGATTGAATGACAAAATAATAAACAGAGCGATTCAAAGGACGACTTGCCAACAGACTAATGGGGCAAATGATCCATGTCATGTCAATGGGAATCCGTATATGATTGCGTTTGGGATTGTACAAATCATATTTTCACAGATTCCGGATTTTGATCAGTTATGGTGGCTGTCTATTGTCGCGGCAGTCATGTCTTTCGGTTATTCGGCCATCGGGCTTGGCCTTGGTGTCTCTAAAGTGGTTGAGAACAAAGAAATTAAAGGTACTCTTACTGGAGTTACCATTGGGACAGTGACTAGTAGTGGGACGGTGACACCACCACAGAAAGTTTGGAGAACGTTTCAGTCACTTGGAAACATTGCGTTCGCGTACTCTTACTCTATGATTCTCATCGAAATTCAGGTATTTTCAATGCGAGTGTGTGTGTGTGTGTGTGTGTGTATGAGAGGGTTTGTTTTGAGAATGCTTTGTTTAACAAGCGATTTGATTGTGCAGGACACGGTTAAATCACCGCCCGCAGAAGAAAACACGATGAGAAAAGCGACTTTCGTAAGTGTGGTAGTGACGACACTCTTCTATATGCTCTGTGGCTGTATAGGATATGCGGCATTCGGGGATTCTGCACCCGGAAATCTCCTTGCTGCTGGAGGGTTTAGAAACCCGTTTTGGTTGCTTGACGTAGCGAATATCGCCATTGTGGTCCATCTAGTCGGCGCTTACCAAGTTTATTGCCAGCCTCTCTTTTCTTTCGTCGAGAAGGAAGCCTCCAAGAGGTATCCAGACAGTAAGTTCATTACAAACGAGATAAAGATCCAACTTGTTCCGGGGAAGCCTTTCAATTTGAATCTCTTCAGGCTCGTGTGGAGGACGATTTTCGTTATGACTACAACGTTAATCGCAATGCTAATGCCTTTCTTTAACGATGTACTCGGACTCTTAGGGGCCATCGGTTTTTGGCCTTTAACGGTTTATTTCCCGGTGGAAATGTACATTTCACAGAAAAATGTTCAGAGATGGGGCACAAGGTGGGTTTGTCTAAAAGTCTTGAGTTTGGCCTGCCTTGTCGTGTCCGTAGCCGCGGCTGCAGGATCCGTAGTTGGCATTGCCAGTGATCTCAAGGTCTACAAACCTTTCCAAACGGATTTCTGAAACCTTACGGAAAAATAAACTCCTGGTTGAAAGGTTTAAGATTAGAATTGAAAAATGTTTTAATGTTATCTTTGTATTAGTTAAATTAACTTTGTGTAAGTGTTCAATACTAAATCATGTTTATACGGAGAATTCTTACAACATTGTACTATCATGAATCATGGTTAATGTAGCACATATTCAGACAATGTACATGAAACTAAAATTTTGGATAAAATTAAACTAACAAGACTTAAAGAAACCATACAAATAATTTAATCAATGATTACCTTGGTGAACTCAAAGTAGTATAGTAGGGTGCTATTTTGGTTTTGGTATATGTCTTTCTATGTCTCCGATACTAACATGTTCCCCAATGTCGTTTTCACAAATAAAACCATGTCTTCCTAGGTTCATAGAGTTGACAAAGAAGAACTTCGTTCGCAATCTTATCCAGATTTTTTTTTTTTTTTTTTTGTGTGGTCAAACTAAGATTTCATTTAAATGAAAGTTGTCTCCATACTAGAAGTCGAACAAAGAAGCCAACAAGCAATAGATTGGTCGAGCAAACGAAAAAGCTAAAACAACAACAAAAACTGATACAAAGAGATAACCATCCATTGCTTTTGAGGAGGTCATTAAACCAAACCCTTCAGTTAGAAATGTGAAGGTGACATAACGATGACCGACAAAACCATCTAACATATTTGCCAAATGCTAATAGCTCAATCGCTAAAGATCTCTGATAAAAGTTTACAGGACGCTAGTTCGAGTAGTGCTTGGAACAATACCATATTACATGCTCTGGTCTCTAGTCTCAGAGAATGTATGAGTTTCGGCCCAGAACCACTTAGTTATTATAAAAAACCGTCTAATATTTTAAGCATTTTTGAAGCATTTTACGAAGTCATAAAAATATTAACGTAAAAAATATGTATAATAATATGTATAATTTTCCAAAAATATACCGAAATGACTTAAACTAGGTATTTCAGGACTAAATCATGAAGGTACAAATTGTACAAATCTATCTCATAAAACAATTTCAACCTAATTTGTAATTTTGTTTCAAAAACTAATATTGTATTATTAGAATGGCTCGGTAATAATATTTACGCGGAACCAAACAGGGGAAACAATGTTTACGAGGTAAAACAAGGGAACCTAATTTGTAATTATAAGTACAAAAATGGATATACATATTATTATCAAAAATTTTAATTAAACTGTGATCAACTATTGTAAAAGATTTAGAGGTTTTTGTAAGAAAAAAACCTTTTTAAACTGTACATTGTATATTTACATTACATATAGTAAATGATTTGCATTGCATTACATATATATACTAGGTTTGGACCCGCGCTACAGCGCGGGAGAATGTTATCAGAGTTATCTATTTTTGGTATTGTAATGTAGAGATATTTTGTTACAATTTGGTTTGTTTATATTAAATGAATATTATTTCAATATGTATATGTATTTGGTGTTAAAATTTCAGTGAAACTGTGTAATTGGGAATGATATTTATTAGTAAACGGAGAAAAAACGATGATTAAAGAATAATAGAGCCCGCACAGCAGTGGTCCAGTGGTAAGTGAAAATTGGAGAAAGGTTGGAAGGAACTAACCCAAGTTCGATTCACCCTGTAAACAAAAATCATTGTTGTGTGGGAAGTCTGTCAGTTGGGCCTTGCCCCAATTGGTTTATCTGGTAGTCAGAAATGCAGGCGGCCTGACTACCCTGTGGCATTAGTCGGAAAGCATTCCAAACTCGGGATAGACAGTGTGGTGGCCCTTTGGGGAGTAGTTCACTCTGAAGCACTTCGGTGCGTTTCTACCAGGGCTGACCGGATCAGCCGATAGGGTTTATCAAAAAAAAAAAGAATAATAGATTTTCCGAGATAAATGTACTTCATAGCTATACTATTAACTATTTGTATTTTTAAGTTTCCAATATCCAGATTCAAATTTGACAAACACAATTGGCTAAAACAAAAAAATTATTGGAAAAATGTCTATGTTTAAAGCAATGTATTATTTAAATGAGTTTTCTCATATGAAAATGGTCTAAGTATGATTAAAGATTACTTGTTAGGCTTTTATTGTATAGTGGTATTTTTTTTGGGCTGAAACTTAAATGAGTAAATCATCATTGTTTGGGCTTTTTTGGCCTTTGCAATAATTAAAACAGCTTATTTCAAAATAAACTGTTTTATTTTAAAATATGATGTTATATAAAAAAATGTCGACTACCAATCTTTATATAGGAAAACTATATTAAAGCATAATTAGGGTATGATAAGAAGGAATATTTCCTCAATAAATATTGTTATTAGGTGGGTAAAATTTTATTAACAAACAATATGATTCGTAAAACTATAATTAAGGATATAGTTTGGCCGATTTGGGATTTGCAAATAAATTAGTTACATTTTTAAAGATACCCAAAGAGATTGCAATCGTAACAGTTTAATTGTAATCTTGTAATTTCTATATTTTCCAAATATGCACCAGCTAACTTTAATGCAAAGGTTTCCAAATATTGTCTTCTTTTTTTTGGAAAAAGAATCGATTAATTAAGTGATGGTCCATATCCGAATCCGTGGTAAACCCGTTTAGTTAAGATCCAAGTATAAGATTTCGGGTTTTTTTTTGTTATAACCCGACCCGGAAGTGCAAATTGTACTTTTTTTTTATTAATATAGAGATATGTCTATTGGGGAGTATCATTCTTATCTTGATAAATAAAGGTGCCAGATGTTAACCAATTACAGAAATAAATATTGGTGACAAATTATTATAGAAGAATTATTATTCTATGAATTTTATTATTTCTTTACATATATAATAGCTAAATCTGTATATGTGAACATGGAAATATTTTTTTTCAAAAATCCAAAGGTGACACGATGCATAAACATAAAAGAAAATTTTGATTTGTGTTTTTAAGGTGTGAATGCTATTATACATATGTCGATTTGCGTTTTCGTTTGACTAGCAAACACAATATATATATTAACAATTATGGCCAATATAAGATAAGAGATGAATAAAAGAATAAACTAATTAGATAAAAAATCTGTAAATATATTCTATAAAAAACTTGTCATTAACTTTGTACACATCTCTATCAACTTTGTACACATCTCTATTTAAATCCCTTCAAAATGGTGAAGTTAACTCAAGACAAAAAAAATAAAATAAATGAGTTCCTCCGACGTCAACTTCTCCTTACTACAAAGCCAAACAAATGTTCCGGTTGAATTCGTTTGGCCGGAGAAAGATGTGACCCCTTCAGAAGGCGACCTCGACCTTCCAATTGTAGACCTGAGTGGGTTCTTGAAGGGCAATGAGGCCGAGACACAGCTTGCAGCTAAAGCTGTGAGAGAAGCGTGCATGGCTCACGGTACATTTCTAGTTGTCAATCATGGCTTCAAGTCGGGCTTGGCTGAGAAGGCGCTTGAGACATCGAGTTTGTTCTTCGAGCTATCCAAAGATGAGAAGCTAAAGGTTTGTAGGATCCCGGGGAATATCTCTGGCTATACCGCGGGTCATAGCCAGAGATTCTCCTCGAATCTTTCTTGGAATGAGACTTTGACTTTGGCTCTCAAAAAGAGTCCACCTCAAGTTGTTGAGGAATTTCTAACATCAAGGCTAGGCAACGACCGTCAAGAGATCGGGTAAAAATATTTGCATGATTTTGCATAAGTTATATAATCAGTGCATGCATTTTCCTATCTAAAACTCTCGTATGGTAGTACAATGATAATGATCCTAGGGCCAAGGGTGTATACTCTACAGCCAATGATCATTTTCGCAATGTAATTAAGCTTTGCGCTTAAACCACTTGGATCACTCATTCACTTAAGTTTTGGCTCGGGTGTTTCACATGTGGTGAGCTTAATGAAAACAAATTACCAAGGGCTTAGGTCACCATGGGATTAGTTAGGCACTTTTGGTACTTAACTTTTATTTAAAACCGATTTAATATATGTTACATTTTACAATGTTTAAAGAGAAACTGGTTAACTATTTTGTTCCTTGGAACTTCTTGGTTATTTTTTCAGTCAAGTGTTCCAAGAATTTTGTGATGCAATGAATGGTTTGGTATTGGAGTTGATGGAGCTACTAGGAATAGGTATGGGTCTAAAAGACAGAACATACTACCGGAGATTCTTCGAAGATGGAAATGCCATCTTTAGATGCAACTATTATCCGCCGTGTAAGCAGCCAGACAAAACCCTTGGTGTTGGTCCCCATAATGACCCAACAGCTATAACCGTTCTTCTCCAAGACGATGTTGTGGGCTTGGAGGTCTTCGCCGGAGGTAGGTGGCAGACCGTGCGCCCTCGTCCCGGTGCTCTTGTCGTCAACGTTGGAGACACCTTCATGGTACGTTTCTCTTTTTATTAAATCTAAACGAGGACACAAATATTAGATATATGTAACTTTAAGAAGTTAGTTTTATGCATATATACGCTAGTGTTTTGACAAAATGGGCATATTACTCGACATTTACTGGTGGAAGTATACATAATAGTAACACTTTCAATTACATACACTTTATTCATATAAAGTAAAATACATTTTCATTATATCTATTATGGAACTAACTAATCAAATAATTTAAATGGTTTATCTATGCATTTATGTTCAATTTGAAATATATTTTGGATTTGATGTGGAAGGCATTATCAAATGGAAACTACAAGAGCTGTTACCACAGGGCAGTGGTAAACATGGAGAAAGTGAGAAGGTCATTAGTGTTCTTCTCTTGTCCTAGAGAAGACAAGGTCATCGAACCTCCTCCTGAACTTGTGGAAGGCGAAGAAGCTACTAGAAAGTACCCTGACTTCACTTGGGCTCAGCTCCACAGATTTACACAGTCTGGCTATAGAGTTGACAACACCACTCTCCACAACTTCTCGTCCTGGCTCACCTCTAACTCTGACAAGAAAACAAGTTAAAATGTACTATTAGGAAGTTAATATATGTGCCATGAGTTGTTTCTATGGAACTCTTCTCCACAACAATGTTTTTCTTGCTTACAGTCCCCTCCAGTTTAGAACAAATTTCGTTTTAAAATATATAAATAAATAAATGTCATCTTATATTTGATACCAATAAAAAAAACAAAAACTGTTATTTTTTATTTCCAATAGAGATGTTTGTTAAAATATATTTTTTATCTATATATTTCTTGATGTATTAATTAACCAATGTATATTATAACTAGTAAAAATAATCCCTATAGCCACTTTCATGTTTGCGGCTGCGCCTTGGTATTTGTGGCTATAGCGTCGTAACTTAAATAATATGTGGCGTTTTTCGGCTGAATCGCCTTATAGCCACGAATATTAAGGCGCAACCGCGAACATGAAAGTGGCTATAGAGATTTCTTTTACTAATATATATATTAATATTGTGTATTAATGATGGATATAGAGTAAAGATATTTTTACTTTCTCTATTCATATTTATGGCCTTTCTGTTATCTAGTAAGACATTGTTTTAACCATGGTTTTTACAATTTGCTATTGAAACTTATTCACACAACTTTTGTTTAAAAATAAAGAAAATCATTTATTATATTTAAAGTAATAATTATCTAAAATTTATAACATAATAAAAAATATAATTTTACTGTTGATAATATCTGTTTTTATAATTAATATATATATATATATATATATATCGAATTTTAGAACTAAAGACTTATATTTCGCTTATAATGTATTTTTATTATATAACTCATATTATTTTATTTTTTCTGAGTTCTTAAATATTAGTCAAGGAAAAAAATGTCACTTTGAAAAGAAAGTATCTCAAAAACTAAAAAGTTATAGCATAGATTTCAAAAGTTGAAATTTAGAGTATATCTTCAAACTAATCCTTATCCTAAACAATAGACAATATCTCCATAATAAATTGGAATTAAGGAGTTAACTAAGTTAATTGGAAATAAAACAGGGAAATATATTTTGAGAACAAATAGGAAATTTCAGCGTTCTTTTCTCTATCCCTAAACTAATGTGGATTAATGCATATCTCCATATATATACTAATGTGGCTCTCTTATGTAATTATTCGACTAACAACGTAACAAACACTGATCTGAGACGATGGGTAAAATTCGGTGGTCTGATTTACCTATAGACCTAGTTGAGTGTTTAGCCGGTCGTTTAACTTCAAACATTGACCTAATCCATATCCGTAGCATCTGTAAACCTTGGCGTTCCAGGGTTCCGGCCAAGAAGCGTGTCCGGAACCACTTTAAACGTGACCTTCCTGTTTTCAAGGACCAAACTACCATTCTCTCATCGACCACGTACTTTCGTGTAACCCTACCTTCTTCGTGTCCTGACAAAGGATGGCTGACCGATAACAGACAAGTCTCTGAGGTCAGTAAGAGAAAACGACTCTTGTCTCCTATGTCTTGCCAACACATCACCCGTTCACCCCACAAAACCCTAGACCTTTTGAAGTTTGGGGTTTCAACGATTTACGAAGCTTACAACGTTCAATACTTTACCAAGAATGATCAAGAGGATCTTAGGCTTCTTAATGGTGTATTTTATAGGTTTTTCGCGAATGCGGATAGAGTTGTTTTCTTAGACAATCTATTTTTCGTAGTTTACATAAACGAAATTTGGTGGTGCAAGAACGATGAAGGAAGTAGATGTTGGACAAGAATAAACAATGAAGAAGTTGATGGTTTCTTGGATATTATACTTCACAGAGGAAAAATCTATGCCTTAGACTTAAGTGGAGCAATTTGGTGGATTAGTTTATCTGAGTTCAACATATATAAATATAGATTTTCAACTCCAAAGGAAGACTTATACAACGAGGACGACATTAACAAGTGCAAAGAAAAGAGACTCGTGGAGTATTGTGGAGATCTATGCATTTTTCATCGTTTCTTTAACCTCGAGCGAACGGTTGGTTTTAAGGTTTATAAGATGGACGAGGATTTGGTAGAGTGGGTTGAGGTCAGTTCCTTGGGAAGACAAGACAATCATCGTGACTACCGACAGTTGTTTTACTGTTATAGCTTCAGAGTACTATGGATGTTTGGAGAATGCTATATACTTTAGTGAAGCGGAAGATGATAGTGTGTTTAAGCTTGATGATGGTAGCATCATTACCAAGAAGATTGGTTCTTCTTCTTCATCTTCTCATCAAAATTGTTTTGAGATGTTCTATACTCCTTTTCTCTGAGAGTAGTCTCTATTGTATTGGTTTTTTTATTCATGACATTTGATAGAATTGATTGCAAAAGGTTTCCAATACTTAAAATTTAATGATGCAACATTTTTTTTGCTAAACGATAATGATGCAACATAAGAATCTCCTGGAGAAATTTAAGAATTACAATGACGATTATAAGGATTAAGGAATGTAACGTACACAAACATATATATTAGGGTTCATGCCTAACACTACAACGCAAATTCCTATTACCAACGAAAAGCAAATATTGTCAGAGAGGATGCAATTTGTTATGGGGACATTATAAATTAATAACTATATATATTTTAGTTTGATGAGTACCAGAAATGTTGAGTATTATTATATAGAGATGATGATAAACACGTAACAACAAACACAGAGATGGGTCAAATTGCGTGGCCTGATTTACCTATAGATCTAGTTGAGTTTTTAGCCTATCGTTTACCTTCAAACATTGACCTAATCCATATCCGTAGCATCTGTAAACTTTGGCGTTCCGGGATATTAGAGATAATAAAGTAGGATCCTGACTAGTATATAAGATTTATGGATCTTTCTGCTCATTGGCAATTAGTTTTAAGTTGAAGCGACAATCTAATATGATATCAGAGTCAGATTCGCACATACTTAACCTAATATACAATCGGTCCAGCCGATTCATGCCCCAACATTCCAAGATTTATGACTAGAAGAGCCATCATCATGAAAGACCGTATTAAAGATAATAATATCCCACATTAGAAATTGAGAAGGATCTTAAATGGTGTATATAAAATATGGACCTCTTCACTTATTGCCAATTAGTTTTAAGTTAAAAGCACATGATCTAATACATGGTTCCGATCAAAAAGGGTGTCCGGAACCACTTTCGACGTAGCCTTTCTGTCTCCCACAATTTTCTTCCATGTAACTCTTCCTTCTTCGTGTCCTAACAAAGGATGGCTTATCAAACACAGACAAGTCTTTATGTTAGTCAACCCATAAACTTATTGTGTTTTAAAAAATCAAAGTACTAACTCGTATTACTCCAAAACTAGATGCCAAATATAATAAGATGAAAGAGTGAATGGCGAACACAAAAACAAATATCAAGTTCATACGTGGAAGAAAATGGTTTTATTTTAATTTAAAAACTGAACCAGTGTAGCCAACCTAAACTGAACCAGAAACAAAGATCTTCATTCATACCAGAAACGTTCATATACAATTATCTGCTTTCATAACATAATACAATCTCCGGTGGCGATATAGCTGAACGCGACGATAACTCGACTAGTATTGCGGTGGCTCACACACCTTGGTCCATGGAAAGAGAGAGACCGTGAACTGAAGATCATAGTGGCCACTAGGGTTTCTTCCATTCTACAAGTACTAACTCTTCTTGGATTCTATATTTTTTCCCACCAGCTAGTTCTCAATGAAGTTATTGTATTGGTTTACAGGTTTTGGTTAACTCATTTGAGTTGGTTTGACTCGTTTAAAAAGAATTGATGGATTAAATGATTAAACCATTAATCCATTACAATTATATTCATATGATCCATCAGACCATTTAACTCATTAACCCGTTGAATTGATGAAGGGGACGGGAAGTAAAGTTATACCAAAAAATACAAGGCCAATCTTTCCCTTCTCTTTCTCCCTTCTCTCTCTTCCTTGTTCAACCCTAGATCTAGATTGTTGTTTTGTGGCTTTGATTTTCATTCCTTCTTTTTTGCTATAGGGCACATAAGTGGATCTGATTCCTTCTCAGTCGGCAATGGAGGTTCCTCTCTTCTCGATGTGGAACCAGATCCAGCGTTTTGGACAGAGTTCTCTGCTATGCTCTCCTCCGGTTTGAAGACGCCGGTATGGAGAAGCAATGGTCTTTGTGGCTCACCCGAAAGGCTGGTTATGGATCCACGGCGGAAGTCGGCGGGAGAGATGGAGGTTTGGTCGAATCGCCATGGAGGTTAATGAAAGATCCGTTCGGATCTTGATGGCCGACGCACGTATTTTTGATGTTTGGAATTCCGATTGAGCCGTCGGCCCCATACATCACCGCGTCTTGCTTCCTCCTGGCCGAGAAGAGGGAATCTGGTTTGGCGATCTGAAGGACGTCAAGCTGGGAAGGAGGGGTTATGTCAGAAGTAGGTCGGCTCGCTTGGTACGGGAGCGGCTTACAACGTGCCGGATAGTCGGAGGGCTGGTCATTCCGAGAGATATGTGGTGGGTTTGGTTTGCCGGGGGAAAAGAAATGGAAGCGGGAGTCGGATGCTTCTCCTCCATTGCCTAGATACCTCGTTCTGCCGCAAAACTGTCGATCTCGCATCCGTCGGATCTGGAGACAGGCCCTCTGCGTTCCGGTGTCAATATGACACGAGCTTCTTTTCCGGCGTTGATTTTGTCCCGTCGATTGCCTTTGTTTCTGTGGTTCTTTGTAAAATCTGAAGCCGGCCCATTAGGGGCAAACCCAATAAAAGAAGCCCATAAAAAAAAAAAAAAACATAACCCATTAACCCGTTACATTCATAAACTCAACTGGTGTATTTTTTTAACTCATTAGGATTCATAGGTTGAATTGAGTTGAATTGATTCATAAAACTTGACCCATTTTATCACCCCTAGCCGCAACCTTGAGATAAAAAAAATATCTTTTTTTTTCGGAAATATGTAAACTTATTAAAGTAACTTTTAAAAATTAATAAATAATTAACCAAAAACATCTGTATTTTAAATATCATATAAATTTATTGGTATAAATTATTTACATATTCAGTTTTTACAAAATTGTTATATAACTAAATATTCCAAAGATTTATTATGGTCTATATTTTTTGAAAAAAAAAATGAATGACATCATTTTACCAATGTTAAGTAATGATTTTTGTCAACTCATATATTATTTTCATGGTAAAGATTTTGTAAAACACAAAATATAGTTTACTTTGCAATAGTTTAGTTTTCATAGAAATTCACTTAACTAATAAAAGTTTGGTAATATGTTATGAGTTGAAAATGAGTTTGAGACGTTCGAAAAATATTTTCTCTATATAACATGACAACATTAAGTGACATGACAAATATATATATACTAGTTTAGTACCCGTCCGATGCATGGGTTATCTTTATTTAAAATTAAATTAAAGTTAAAATTTATTATAACTTATAAAAAAATAATTTCCATTTTTTTTTTTGAGAAAATAAGAGAAATTAATTTCATTTGGAAAGAGATTTTATTTGGTTTGAAGTATCAAATGAACGTGTGTATATATATATATCTTAAAATTTGTTATTAAACGTTAATTATAAAAATCTAGTAATGTCAAATTGACAATCACCAAAACATTTAGGAGCTATTTGGGAGCTATTCACCATTACTCATAATATTGCTAAAATAATTTTAAAAATCTTAATTTAGCAATTATCCTCAAAAACATGATTATACCATTTTGTATAAAAATTTATTTCTTAACTTTCAATTTTTCAAAAAATCATTTTCAGACTATGAATATTAATTAATTATGATGTTAAATACAAATATAGTCATTTGTAAATAAATTCATATAAACAACGCAAATAAACATAAAGATTCTAAAATAAATTATAGCATGTTGAGGAAAACATTAAAAAATCTTTCAAATACGAATTATAAAAAACTACATATTTTCTTTAAAATATTTTAAAATTACTATATTACGATTTATATTGAATTTTGTTATCTTTAATTTAAGCTAAAAATATTATTTTCGAAAAACTTTTATTCACCCTTATGTTTTAGACAATGAAATTGCTCAATGGCATAATACATTCATGGGGGATTTGCACTACTAACCTTTTAATGATACCATTTTGGCCTTTTCTACAATGACCCTCTCTAGATGTCTATTTTCAAAAATACCCTCTTCAATGTACAAAATGAATAAATTACCCTCCTTTATTATAACCCATGATGAAAAAGGCATATTCTTTCCAACAAAAAGAATAGTCTTTCCAAAACATTTCGGCAAAAATTTTCCCGCCAAAAATTTCCGACAAAAGTTTTTCCGCCAAAAATTTTACGACAATAATTTTTCCGCCAAAAACTTTCAGCCAAAAGTTTTCTGCAATTCCCTTAAAAAACCTTGTAAATATTTTTAAATCCTTTAAAACCCCTTGTAAATCTTTTAAAAGTCATCCAAAACTTGAGTAAACCTTTTAAAACTATTGTAAATCATTTTATAACATTTATAAACACTTTTAAATCCCTTTAAACCCCTTATAACCGTGATAAATCATTTAATAAAAACTTTTGTAAACTTCTAAAACCCTTTAAAAACCCTTGTAAATCCTTGAAAACAATTTTAAAGAACTTGTAATATCTTTAAAAACTTTTGTAAACCCTTCAAAAACCTTTGTAAACTTCTAAAACCCTTTAAAACTTCTTGTAAATCCTTTAAAACTATTTTTAAATCTTTGTATGCCTTTAAATACACTTTTAAATCCTTTTAAAAACACTTGTAAATATTTTTTTTAAAAACCTTTAAAAATCCTTGTCAATTTTTAAAATCCTTTAAAAATCCTTGTAAATCCTTTTAAAACTGTTATAAACTTTTAAAAACTTTTAAAAACCATTGTAAATCATTTAAAAACCATTTAAAAACCTTTGTAAGCTTCTAAAACCCTTTAAAAACCATTACAAATATTTTAAAAACCATTTAAAAACTATTGTAAATCCCTTTAAAAACCCTTGTAAACCCTTTAAAATACCCTTTAAAAAATCTTGTAAACCCTTTAAAAAAATTTGGCGGGAAAATTTTGAACAAATATTTTTTTTGCGGGAAAATTTTTGCGGAATATTTTTTGGCGGGAAAACTTTTCTCCGATTTTTTTTTGGCGGGAAAGTTTTTGGCGGAAATTTTTTGGAAGGAATATGCCTTCCTTTGGGAAAGGATATTCTTTCAAATAGGGGTAAAATGACCATTAAAATTTAAGAGAGGGCAAAAATGAAAATGGTAAAAAAGAGGTAT